ATTATGTCAAAATGTGTAAAAGTGAGTAAACCAATATTTTTCGTAAATAATTTAATTAGTAGTAAAGAAAATAATTTGAAATATTTATAGTTTGTTTCAGTAGTTTTAGAGACATCCGTACTACTTGTCGATCATCAAGTAAATTAATATTGTAATAATACTTGCGTAGTTTCCGTACTAAGTATCAGGCATACTTGTTCATGTACTTGTGTAGTATTCTTAATTGAAGTAATTTGTTCCGATAATCTTTGTAAATAATTTTGAAAGTAATAATGGAAAGTTTGCTTACAGCATTGATGCCTGAGAGATGCTGTGAAACCAGGTTTTAGTTGGTATTTAAAATGTCACTTTTTTATGCAACTGTACAATCATCATTTACTTACATAAAACTTTCAAGTTGGTACTTATGCAAACAAAGTACATTGATTTTTTGCCTAACGATTGTCTTTTGTAATTAATAAACAATTATGTCAAAATGTGTAAAAGTGAGTAAATCAATAATTTTCGTAAATAATGTAATTAGTAGTAAAGAAAATAATTTGAAATGTTTATAGTTTGTTTCAGTAGTTTTAGAGACATCCGTACTACTTGTCGATCATCAAGTAAATTAATATTGTAATAATACTTGCGTCGTTTCCGTAATAAGTATCAGGCATACTTGTGGTAAGTATGATATACTTGTTCATGTACTTGTGTAGTTTTCTTAATTGAAGTAATTTGTTCCGATAATNAAGTAATAATGGAAAGTTTGCTTACAGCATTGATGCCTGAGAGTTGCTGTGAAAGCTGCATGACGACGCCGATGACGAGAGGCGCCCGCAACGTAGGTGAGCAGATGAGTTCCATCATGCTGATGCTTGCTTCCGCTTGCTGTGCCCTCTCCTCCGCCCTCATCTCCTCGATGTCCTCCTCCACCTGATTGCTAGCCCTGAGCCTCCGCAACGCTTTCCGCGCCTCCTCCTCCCACTGCTTAGTGATGAGTAGATACCTGGGGCTTTCAGGACAAATGGGTAGCAGCACCAGTTGCAGCAGAGCCGGACAGATTGCTAATCCAAGAAGCAGAGGCCAACCCTCGTTGGTGCCCAAAATTTGCTCGATACCTAGAACCTGCGACAGCAGGAGTCCCACCGTAACCGCCAGCTGATTGACGGTACCCAATCCACCGCGCAAATTCAACGGCGCTATCTCTGATATATACATAGGTACTAAGGAAGTGTTCAGTCCTGTAAAAAAAAACAATAATCAATTGGTAATTGTTGCAGGTGATTTGATTGGAAGTAGACTCACCGCAATTGACACCGATTATAAATCTACCAATGAAGAGCATCTCGTAGGAATTCGTCACCTTGGTGAACCACATCAGACAGGCGCCTACGATGCCTAGCACGTTATTGAGCAATAATCCACCTTTCCTATAAAGCGAACACGATATTATGAAAAAATCCGGATATATACTGGTATTTTTTCACCTTCCGAATCTGTTTGCGACCATTCCACCGGAAAAGCCGCCCAGCATTCCGCCGATGGCGAAGATCGAAACGGCCAGCGAGTAGAGCCGCTGCACACCCTCGTCCTGCAGATCCTCGCCGTACCGCGACTTGTACACGTCCTTCATGAAATATTCTATGTTGCCCTCCGGGGCATTGATGACGCCCGTGTTGTAACCGAATTGCAGCATGCCGAGGACCGCCGCGAGGATCGCGTACGACAGGAAAAACGTCAATCCCTGCGAACACAAAGGATGAAGAAGAGAAAACAACAATAATAGCAGCAGCAACTAGGACGATGGGAGAGCAGAGAAGCCGGAGGGTAGAAATACATATATATATATAAATGTAGAGAGAGCGAGAGAATGTGAGGGGGGGGTATATGGAGAGGATGGAAAAAAAATACGCACATATATAAAAGTAAAACGCCGTGAATAAAATACAACCGGAAGAAGAGGAGAACGCGAAGACAATGCGAACTGCTCTCCGGGATTAAACATTCAGGACGCATGATGACATGAGGATGGATGGAGAGAAGGGAAAAAAGGAGAGAACGTGAAGGGCGGCAATAAATTCCGGTAAGATCTTTAAACTTCACTTTCCTAGCAGTCGATGATTCACATACAAATGCATACAGTTTTTCTTTTCGCACAGCCAACACTAAACATTTTGTTATATAACATTAGAATGTTCGTAAATCAATGCTAACCTAATCAATCAACATTATCATTTAACTATTTGGTAGTAATATACTCTATGCTATATAATATTTCTGATGAAAATGGAAAGATGAAAACAGTGTAGTGTGTATATTGATTGGATTTGAGATTGTATTAGTATAATTAGGTGTTGTAGCAATTAGAAATTGATTAGAAGTTAATGATATAATCTTCGGAAATGGTGATTGTGGGATAATACTTTATTGAGGGTGTCAAGGATCTGAACGGAAAACAATGATACCCGGTGACGGCTGTCAACTTGACAACGTGCCAATTTGCCAAACCAAACGAACGAACATAAAAACAAATTTTGGAATTTTTTTTTTATAGAATAAACGAATGCCAATTGCAAATACTAGAAATTTAGTGAAATTATTACATAATAAAACTTTAGTTTCGTTGAGTTTGGGTATGTAATAACTAATTTTTTGTTTGTTATTGAAGTCGAGTTGAGTTTATGTTTTTTTTTTTTAAATCTGG